CAAAAAAATCTTTGTGCACGGAGCAGCTAATAATGTTGTCAAGAACTCTACTTCCAAACACAGAAAAATAATCAAACCATTTACAGACTCACCCAAAATTCTGCCAGGTCTTCGAGCTGCCCAACGTTTTCAATTTTCTTTATTCTGTTGGCTGCCAAATCCAGAGTCGTGAGCTTGGTCTGTTGAGTATATAAACCAGGTATATTCAAAGGAAAAAAAACTTTACAAATTCAAAGACACTATTCATATTCACACACGTCCTCACAATGATTTAACAATCTTAACGAAATAGAACATAATTCTAGTTTATTTGTTTAAGTAAAGAGAAGCACATTGACAATAATGGTCATTTAGTGCTGGGAAAAAGAAAGATAGACAGACAGAAGAAAACAGTGGTAAAGTAAAGAAGTAGAACGTTATAGTGGTGCCCTCATACCACTCCCACATAATTCTTGTCATTATGGTATGAGAGAGAGAACAAAAGTGAGAGGCACTGAATGGCAAACATCTTATCAGAAAAAGGACAGATTCAAAACACCTCTTCTGAGTGTCTTCTAGAGAAACCCAGCAATATACCTCAAGCTTAATGCTAAGACTAAGAGGTGACAGGAACATCTACCCAGATTCCGAGAAATTCTATTCCAGTAGATAGGATATAAATAACTCACTACACTTTCTAGTCCTTCAATGTTCTCCAGTCCGTTATTACTTAGGTACAGTTCATCCAGTTCTGTTAGGTTCTCAAGACCCTCTACCTTCAACAGACGATTACTCTGGAAAAAAACAAACAAACCAGAAAACAAAAGCAAATCAGACAATAGGTTTCAACCCATTAAGCTAGTGTAAAAGGAGGAGCACATAGATAGGATAAGAATAATTATAATCAAAAGGCAACGGTCATTATTTCTTTTCAATTCTGTAACATCTCAGATGCATAACACATATGCTGTTTCAATATGCAGGGTGACTGCCAAATCGGCCTCTCAATTTTCCAAGAGGACCCAACCATTTTCCGGGGGCACATTACATAACAATGACAATGTATAATTTTATATATATAAATAACTAATAGCTTAATGCTAAGAGGTGACAGGAACATCTACCCAGATTCCGAGGAATATATATATATATATATATATATATATATATATTATTAGCTTTTGTTAATAGGTGGGTACCTAAAATGTAGCACAGAGGGTTGATGATTAAGTATTTAATATTTCGTTTTTATTTGAATTTTTCTATTCATGTATATCTCCTCCTACAAAAACATGTATTTACACACCAACAGATGGGATGTTAAGCTGTGTAACTGGCATACATAACAGCAAGTCAAATTCTTTCGGACATAACTATGACGACTCATTTTTTTAAAAATTTGAAATTATTTAAAATTTTCCTATAGCTTTAATTTTCAAACATAAGCATAAAGAGCATATAAAATGGTGAGGATCACATAAAAAATAAGTTCTGAAAGCCATTGTGTTTGCATTTGTGTCATCATAGTTATGTCAGAAAGAAACGAAAAACTTTCCGTTTTCATATATGTAAATACAGTGGAGTCCACTTATAATGAGTCCACAAATAAAGAGAAGTCTGTTATAAAGATACCATTTTAAAACCTTTTTTTTTTCCCCTTCTTTATCTTTGAAAAATAAAATACTGCTATAGCGTGAACATACAAACACGCGAGTCGGTTATAGCGGAATAGTGCTGCTGCTTCTGTGCACAGCATATAGGCCATTTATACCATGTAAGACCTCGCCAGTTGAGAAACTTGTTGGTGATCTAGCGAAACAAAGAATGGGAGAGCCCACGTGGGCCAACAATGAAGGCCGGATCGAATGAGTGGGGAGGGTGTATTAAGCACAGACAAGCAGTTGTGAAGCAGAACCCATTGCGTGATAGGCCAGCATATTCTAGATTATCTAGGCCTACTCTGCCTCTCACTTCTCCGATGCGGGGATAGAGAGGCCCTAGTACTGTGATGGATGGAGCGAATTGAATGTATGACGTGCGCAAGCAGACGGAACGCACCACAGGGTGTGGTGGGCTGGGGGACAACACAGCGGGCGAGTTAGCCCATAGAACTTTCTTTCTGATCACCAACGCCGAACTGTCAACATTGCTAGCACTAAAGAAAGAAACCTGATCCGATTTTTGATCAAGTAAGACCAAGAGGTAATGTAGGGCAAAATCATCATCAGGGGCGATAACAAAAAGAAAAAAACAGAACACCAAACTCATAGATTAGGCCTACTTTATTATTTCCATTGAGTTTATTACTGGATCCATTATAATGAGAATCCTGCTACATGTATACAGACATTTCGCACCAGTCCCCTCCCTCTCATTATAACAGAATTCAACTGTAACTTTTATGAAAATTTAGGCAAACAATGGTTCAGAAGATTAATTTGACTCACAATGCCTGTTAATGATGAAAAAATGTTAATTTATTCTCATTTTACAATGAATCTCTGGAAAATTAAATATCAAATATCTTTGGAACATAACCATGATGACACAAAATGAAAAAGACCATGAAAAGTAATTTATGGAACATTAAATTATTTTCATAGCTCTCTCATTGCTTTATTTTTCAAACAGAAGCATGAATTCTGCAAACTGAGCCCAAAAATGTGAAATTAAGCGACTCTGTTAATTTGAACAAAGAATGATGAAAATAATCAGAAATTATGCAAAAAAAAGATCAAATTTTGCTAAATTATGAGGGGTCTATAAAACCACGGGGACATATTTTTATATATATTTTAAATCTGTTTTGAAAATTTTGGCAAATAAAGATTCAGGAGATTCAGTTTGACTCATAATGCTTGCTAATGGTGAAAAATCGCCACTTACTTCACATTTTACTATGACTCTAGGCGGAATACCCAATATCTTTCGAACGTAACCATGATGACATATAATGGGTTAAATGTCTGTCATCATTTTGGAACAACCAATTTACATCAAATTTTCTCCTCTCATTAACCTGTCCTCAGAGAAATTCGCACCCGCAACCCGCAAGTTGCGCGCGCAACTTTTACCATTTTTGTGAATTCGCGAATTTTAGCCATTTCCCGCAAAATTTGGGAAAATAATAATATTTCATTAAAATCACTGAAATTTTCTTCCACGACTAAAAAATAACGACGCCAAGGGGGACAATTCGCTCCTTTGCACCACGGGGTGCCCGCCTCCGCCCGGTGACCCAGGTCGTGTCGGGATGATCGCCCGACTCGTCGTCTGAAAACAACAAGTTTGTTTTGAAACAACGAGTCGGGCGCGATCTACTTGTGCCACGATAGCCGCTTTGCACCATCAATCTGGCGAGCAAACCGACCCAATAGTCTTCATCATCATCATCAATGCCTTTCACCCCTGGCAGGGTATAGGCCACATACAAGCTCCTTCCATTTATCTCTGTCCTGAGCCATCCTTCCAAGCTCATTCCAAGTGAGCTTCATTTCTCTCATGTCCCTTTCCACGCATCTCCTCCATGTTTCCCGTGGCCTACCCCTGCCTCGTGCTCCTTGTGGGTTCCACTGCAGTGACTGTCTTGTGATGTTTCCGCTGGGCTTTTTTAAGGTGTGTCCCATCCATCGCCACTTTCTTAGTCCTATTTCTACTTCTATATCCTTTTGTCCTGTCCTTTCCCACAGTTCTTCATTTCTTATTCTATTCTGCCACTTAATTCTTAGATTACTCCTCATACATCTGTTGATGAAAGTCTGGACTTTATTCAGTACTGTTTTCGTTGTCTTCCAAGTTTCGCAGCCGTAGAGGAGCACAGACTTGACGTTGGAGTTAAAGAGTCGAATCTTGGTGCCCAGCGAGATGTTGCTTGCTTTCCAGACTTTTGATAATTGCTTGAAGGCTGACCTTGCCTTGGCGGTTCTTGCTTTAACGTCTGCCTCAGTTCCACCTGTACCATCGATGACACTTCCAAGGTAGGTAAAGGAGTCCACAGTCACAGCAGAGCTTGAAACTTTTCCTAGCTTCACTACTTTTGACTTGCCTGGATGTATACGTAGGCCAACACTCCTTGATAGCCTGTTGAGTTCCTTGGTCTTTTCTTGCATCTGAGCATGTGTGTGACAGAGCAGCGCAAGGTCATCGGCGAAGTCTAAGTCGTCCAGCTGCTGCCAAGGGATCCATTGTACTCCATTACGTTTGCCTCTGGTGGCTTCTTTCATGACCCAGTCAATTGCCAGTATGAAGAGGAAAGGTGAGAGCAAGCATCCTTGCCGCACTCCTGTCTGTACCTGGAATGGTTCTGAGAGTTGTCCTTCGTGGAAGACTTGGCAGTTTGTTCCATCATAGGTGGCCTTCACAAGCTTGACGATTTCCTCAGGTATTCCAAAATGCTGCATGAGTTTCCACAGAGTTTCCCTGTCCACGCTGTCAAACGCCTTTTCATAGTCAAAGAAGTTGACCACGAGTGGAGAGTTCCATTCAAGCGATTGCTCAACAATGATACGCAGAGTAGCGATCTGGTCCACACATGATCGGTTTTTGCGGAATCCTGCCTGGTTTCCTCGAAGCTTCTCATCTGT